GCAGGTGATGTTGGTGAATATGAAGGGTTAGCCATCGAAGTTGAAGAAAGCAACAAGCCTTGTATTGAATTGGGCCACAAGTTCAATCAGGGTTGTAGCCCCGGGATTTCGGGCGTTCACACAATTTATTTATGGTCTCTGGGCTCTCTACAGGTTAATAGTAAGCTATAATTGGACATCGCTGGTATGTGGGGTGCTGTACTGTCGTTCTGTGTCCCACGCCGTGAGCTTTGGATGAAAGTATGTCCATGCATTTGAGTCGACATTCACCAATAATGAGCCTGTTACTGTAACTGAGATACATGTAGGTACAAGACATAATGTCTATCATTTACTGAGCCAAATAAAGGAGAGGTGCAGAAATATTCCAGAAAAGTCACACTCGAGTGTCCGCACCCCCGGCGTATCTCCGTTTATACTCTGCAGGGGTTTCGCCTTTGGTACCTCGTTGCCACATTCCGAGCTTGGCTTGCCTATCAGAGAACATGAGTAGGTTGAAACATACGAGGGTGTCGAGGGAGTTCTCGAATATCTCGTGCTTACTGTGCGGCCTTTTCCAACGATAATAAGTGGTCTTTTCCCCATTTGCCATATTCTGCGTAGCTTTGTTGGTAAACGGTCGCCCATCCAGCTTTAAGCATATCGATGGACACACAGCGATATCGGAATGGAATCCACGATTTAACCATAGGGGCTGCCACCTGAGTGGCACCTTTCAGTATCGAAAGGAACAAGGAACAAAGAGCGGAATTTCTCACTGTGCGCCCATATTGGTCTCGACGTAGCAGCTGACACCATACGCGTTTGCCTAGAACAGCATTTCTAAGCCATTCCAAGGCCTCCTCCGCATAGGGTTGGGCGGGCTTCCCGAAATGAGCGGCCTGCGAAGGAGTGAGTCAGATAGTTTATGGAGAGTGACAGAGCTGCTGGGCTGACCTCGGGCGCATCTATTCCCATCATCCTGATATGTAGTGTCTCCTCCTTCAGATCTAGTTGAAAGGTTTCAGGTAGGTGATCAACTCAGAGGACTTGTACACACCTTTAGCCGAGCTGGGTACGCGACGGAACTTCAATGGCCAGTTCCACCCAAATCCAGGGGTATGATAAAGCCTAAAGTTGTCTGCGTCGCCAACACTGCTGACATTAGTGTGATTATCACGGGCTAACATGCCATTTACTCACCTCGTCACGACACCTTTGATCCACCTTTTCTTCTCGAAGTCACTGCTGCTCACTTGCTCGGAATTACGAATCCGCTTGAAAAATCCTTTATATACCCTTATTCCTCCAAATGTTATTAGCGATCCCCCGACCATAGCCAATCCCAACTTTGCCGCATCCGGAGTTCTCGACCAAGCATCCGAGATGGGGCCTAGACTAGTTTGTGCTCTTACACGAGTGGATTCGAGTTGTTGTTTCCATGTCTTGTTTGGCGGAGTCGGAGAGGAGGATGAAGAGGTAAACATCGAAATTGGAAACAAAGCAGGCGACTTATTGAACTACG